GAAAGAGGGTGTAACCACACTCGCCTCCAGTCGCCCAATGACGCTGGACCCGCGACCAGCTGGCGAAGAAGCCCGTTCCACACTTGTCCTCTTACGGCACAACTCCGTTATTAAGGATTCGGATAATTTGCATATTAACATATTAAAAGAATATTGAGAACAAGACGTGTGCCTAAGCACATGCATTTTCAAAAATCGATTGTAAAATCGTTAGCATTCCCAGTCCCAGATATTGTTTCACGCCCGTTGTTGGATCACATTGCACCCTGAATGCAGTCGTACCCATGGTAGAAACCCCAAAACTGAACTCAGGAGATGTCCCCTGACCTTTTGAACGCCAACTAAGCTTGTCCGCTCCTTCAACCACCCACCATCCTTCCTGTCCTGACGTTTGTCAAGGTAAGAAGCATTGCAGCTTTCCCTCTTCGAATTCACAAGCATCGACGGCATGATGCACGAACTCGAATCACATCTTGTCGGTTCCAGCGCGTTGTCCGACGTGCAGTCGCCTCCCGCCATGTGCATTAATCTCCGGTTGTGTTCCGCATATCGCTGCTGCGCCTCGACGAGCTCAAGCGCGGCATGCCGGATTCGCGACCGTGCGTCCTCCACCCACTCGGGATCGCACGCGCGAGCGGCGTCGGCGCAGGAAAAGGCGTCTGACGAGGCCTGAAGAAAATCACGTGGATCGGTGCTCCAGAACCGAGAAGAGCCTTCTACGTCGTCTTCGTCGTCGAAGTTTCCGTAGTGTGTGGAGCCTGTAACGGGTACAAATACCTCACCGCCGATTCTTCGAACATCAGTCGCGGAAACGCATCTGCGAACGACCCGTTTATCGGCTTCCATGATGACTACTAGTAGATATAGCAGCACGCAGAAACACAAGTGACGTGGAAACTCCGTAGCGGGGAGGGCGTGTGGCGATCGAGAATGTGGTAGCTCAAATGAACGAAGCCACCAACAAATGGAAGAACTAAATCGCTTTCTGCGCCTGTGAAACTGAAGCTGGCATCTGACATCAAAATATATCACACCAAGTTGGCTAATGTTTGAAGTGCTTGAAGCGTCGAGGAGATGGTGTGTGGTGTGGTGCGTTTTATTGGAGAAAAATGTGAACGCGGGATTCATGAACCAGGGAAATGACTGCCAAAGGACACGGTTGAGCAGCATTGGAGAGACCAAATGGACCAAAACTGAGGTGGCAACATAGGTGATGTGGGATGCGATGTGATAGCACCCTTGATGCTACAGTAGACCAGCCCAGAAAGAACAGGCGGAAATGAAATCAAACAGTGGGCGAAGGGCTGATGGTAGCGGAGAGGACGTTTGGGGCGGGTGCGGTGACGGGGGGGAGGGGAGCGTGGGGGAGGGGGGGGGGGGGGGGGGTATGGAGAACAGAGCGGAAGAAATCAGGGGCCACCACCGCCACGGCATGTTATTGAAATGTAACGTCGGGCGAAAATGGCGAATGGCGGCGCACGAATTTGTAGATGTGCACGAATGAGCTGAGGAGGAGATGGCGAATGGCGGTGGGAAGGAGGGCTATTGGTCTCTGGCGGTGAGAGAAGGGTCAGAATTTGGCGTCAGAATTTGGGAATGTGATGCGATGCGCCAAGACGGAGGATGGGGTGAGGAGGGGAAACCCGTTGAGCAAGTTGACGAAAGAAACCACAGAAAACAACGGGATATTCTAAATTCAGTCACGTATAAGCCCGGTTTCTTGAGTTTTGTTGCAGGGGTATCACAAACAGTCACAGTACAGTAAAGTTCTATCGTGGATTATCATAGTTCTATCACGTTTGGTCACTCGTCGAAACGGTCGATAGAAAGTTGAAGCTACTCAAGTCACTGTAGGGATTCAGGGAAAGTTTTTTCTCGCGCGCCGTTTTCGCGACAACTCTAGGTAGCTCACCTGCAAAATCTTGTTACTATTTGGTTGTCAACTGTTTAAATGACGCATAATGCTAGACGGGTTAACTGGAAGGGTATTTCTGTTCCCAAGACAAAATCAATCGAAACCCGTTCGGATGGGAATATCACCTTTTCGCATGGTGTTTAGGGTTGATGCCTCCCGAAGGACGTACCATCCTATAGGGGTTTATTGTTCTCCTCTTCACCAAAATTTGAGGCTAGAATCATGCACGAGGTCCCCCAAATCTCTACAATTTTTTTGGTGGTTTCAAAATAATTGTTATCGTTTCATCGAGTGACCAGACGTGACATCTTTTAGAGGCGAGATGTGACCATCCGTGATAGCACTGTGATCACCCGCGATGGGAATCTACTGTACAGTGACTGTTCGTGACAGCCCTATAACCAAACGCAATATGCAAGCTTAATTGTGACTGCCGTATAATTTCCCCAGAAGTGAGGCCCCCACTTCAGCAGCACCCAGCCACACCACCAGAAACAATGTTCACGGCACCACACCACACCAAGTTGCGCATCAAGGATTGTAATTGTAAAACACCCATTTCATCATCCATCTCGTTCATCCCAAAAGCGTGGCTTCCAAATCAGCAACCCCTGAATAGGCCTGATTAAGTGTACGTGATGTTGACTGTACAAAAAGTAATAAAAGCGGCATACCTACACAGCAACTTTTACCAACCCTCTAAACAATATTCGCGCACCTGGATATTCGACGATTACTGTAACCACACACAAAGCTGACCAAATCTGGTCGCCACAGAGTCTGTGGCTGACCAAATTCGGCTGAAACGTTTGCACTGCTGATCCAAAAAGTCGAGGCCTGTGATACGCCATGCTAGGACCGTCAGCATGGCGCATTAAATGCACTTACTGCAGCTCGCCGCAGACGTTGCGGTATTCCATAGTGTTTTTCTACCAGTAAAAAAAACTGGCTGATATGTTGTGAGCTCCCACATTTTGGAATGAAATGCTATTTCTGTTTCTTCAAAACCTCTAGATCTGTTATGCTGATTTCAACAATGACTTGTGGGCTTGTTAATAACGGGGAGGATTTGTGGACGAATAAGAAAAGGAAAAGGCATGTGTTAAAGGCCTATGGTAGAAAGACAGCAAGGAGTAGGATGAAGGGGAGCCAAGAGTATCCCGGAGAGAGTACAAATGCAAGTGGGCCGAACGAGCCCACCATGAACCGGCATTGCTGCATGCAGACGGGAGGGAGGACGAACGGGAGGAACTTTTCAGTCGACTCAAGAGTATCCCGGAGAGAGTACGTATGCGAGGGGGCCGAAAGCGCCCACCATGAACCGGCATTGCTGCATGCACAAACAGGAGGGGGCTAGCGGGAGGAACAAAATCAGCAGTATCGTGTAATGAAATGTTGAAATGTAATGCTCAGACAATGTATTTGCGTCCCAGGCGCAAGAGGAGCAAACGCACCAACCATGCGTCAACAATGCAAGTAGGCATAGGAGAGCCAAATACGATGTAGAAGGAACATGAATGAACATGAATGCAAGGAGGGCACCAGCACGCCTTCCAAGAACCCCCCTCATGCCCAATTTCCTTCAGAACCCGATAAACCGACTCAGACTCACCCGTAGGTACGCGAGGATGGGCAGAGGGGCAGCAGCAAATTGGTGAGACGTCTCTACATTTACACTGCAAGCAGAACCACCACCTGCCACCACCTGCCACCACCTGCCACCACCTGCGACCACCTGCCACCACCTGCCACCACCTGCCACCACCTGCGACCACCTGCCACCACCTGCCACCACCTGCCACCACCTGCCATGCTCTGATGGGCCACACACACCCCGTGCTCCCATGCTGCCTCCTGTCCCCCCTGCCCCCCCGACAAGCCGGCTCAGACTCACCCGGAGGTACACGAGGAAGGGCAGAGGGGCAGCAGCAGTTTGTCGAGACGTCCTCTAAATCTCAACCTCCCATCACACTCGACTCGACCTCCCTACCAGGGTCAAGGCAAACTCACCCGGAGGTACACGAGAATGGGCAGAGGTGCAGCAGCAGCCACGAGTGCAAGCACCACCACCACCTGCCATGCTCTGATGGGCGACACGCTCCCTATGCCCCACTGCTGTCCTCTCGCCCCCCTACCCTCTCTCCAAGAACCCCCCCCACACCTCATGTCCCTCTCCTGCCACCTCCTCCTGTCCCTCCTGCTCTTGCCAGCGGCTGTAAAGGGTGAAGAGGGATCAGGAGATGGAGCGGCAGCAGAAGCAGCATCAGGAGGAGGAGGAGGAGAAAGAGGAAGAGGAGACCGGAGCCGGACTGCTTCGGATGATGCAAGCCCTCCGTTTGACCCCCTTCGACGCAGCGCCTTCACCCCATCGCCTCCTTCACTGCTACAGCCGCTACAGCTGCTGCTGCTGCTGCTGCTGCTGCTACTTCTGATAATGATGCCATCAGCAGCAGCTGTAGTGGCAGCTGTAGCGGCCGCAGCAGTTGTAGCAGCTGCAGTGGCTGCTACAACCTCTGCAGGTAAATCCATGCAACTCCCATCCTCATCACCCTCTCTTCCCCATCCACCTGCCTTCCCTGCTGCTGCTCCCTCTTGCCTCTCCCCTCCCCATCCCACCAATGCTTGCCTCTCCTCCTCTTCCTCCCCACCTCTCCCCCCCTCCCTTCCAAACAACATCCCTCCTTCTCTCCCCTCCTCTCTTTCTCCCTCCCTCACCCCCTCTCTTGAGAGTGCAAGTTTCACCCAGCCATAGAGGGTGTGTGGGCCACAGGGTGAGAGGAGGGCGGATCGGAGGAAGAGGAGGAGGGGGAGGATGAGAAACGCGGGGAGAGTGACAAAGACCAGAAACGGCTCAACTGTAGTCACTATGTCGGGAACTGCGAGGTTGGATGTGAGAGGGGAATTGGAAAGACACGGAAAGGAGGAGGAGGAGAAGGAAGAGGAGGAGGGAGGAGGGATGGGTTCGCAGGAGGGAACAGCCCAGCCGTAGATCGAAAGAGATCCGACAGCGCAGGAGGGCCCGAGAGGCTGTGCCCAGAACCAGGGGAAGAGACAGAGGTAGAGGAGGAGTACCAGGGAGAGGGACCAAGCGGTGGAGTGGGATGCAGCGAGGTAGATGTGTAGTAAGAGACGTAAGAGGGCGAGGAGGGCGGAAGGGAGGCGTTTCACAAGAATGAAAAGAGAGGAGGAGAAGGGTTGTAGATGGGAGGATGAGGGGGTGCGGTGGGATAGGGGAGAGGAAGAGAGGGGTTGTGTGACTGTGGGTGGGGTGGTGGACAGAGGGTGGGGGGAGGGAGTGTGAGAGGGGCGAGAGGCATGGGAGGAGTGAGAAGTGTGAGAAGTGTGAGAAGAGGGAGAGGAGTGGGAAGAGGGAGGGGGGATGAGGTACGACAAAGCCCTAGACCCCAGGAGCATGAGAGCGAGGAAGAGGAGAGGTGTGACAATAGCGAAGGGCCAGAGATCCTCCCAGTCTGTTCCCATAATGGTCCGCTCCAGCCACGTGTGGGGGAACGGTACAGCGCGGTTGAATGCGGTGAAGGGCTGTGCAGGAGACGTGTACACTGAGACACCCCTCTCTGCTGAAGCTGAAGCAGCAGCAGCAGCAGCATCACGAGGAGGAGTGCGGTACGATACCCGGACGGCAAGCCAGAGGCGGGAGGAGGGAGAGAAGGGCGGGCGAGTGTATCTCGACGCGTCCCACGCCGCCCAGAAGAGCGGAGACGGGCGGCGAGCGCCGTCCTCTTTATTACCTCCCTTCTCCACTTCCTCCCTTGTTAGAACCACCTCCTCTACTATCTCCACTTCAACCTCCTTTCCACTCCCCACGCCGTTACCAGCATTACCAGCACTCCTCCTGCCCTCTGCACCTGTTGTTAACGGGCTACTTTCTCCCTTAAGATCCACTCGCACTACTTGCACGCCGCTCCTTTTGCCGCCCACGCCACCCAAGATGCCACCCAGAATGCCACCCACGCCGCCACCCGGCTCCCGCTCGCGATAGACAACGGCAGAGACGTTCAGGATGGGCGGCAGGGAAAAGACAAGCGCTCGGATTTCACCCCCCGCCACCCATGCTGCCACCTGCTCCCCGCTTCCTGCTCCCGCTCCGTCTCCCTCTCCCTCTCCCCCTCCCTCTCCTGCTCCCGCGCTCTTGGGCTGTGATGGTGGCAGGAAGTGAGCGTTGGGCGGGCAAGTGAGCAACACCACTGGTTGCCGTGCCAGCACCATGGGGCCTGGAGGGACAGGACAGGGGCAGTGGAGAGTAGGGGGGGTGGGGCAGAAGAGAGTAGGGGGTGGGGCAGAAGAGAGTAGGGGGTGGGGCAGAAGAGAGTAGGGGGTGGGGCAGAAGAGAGTAGGGGGTGGGGCAGAAGAGAGTAGGGGGTGGGGCAGAAGAGAGTAGGGGGTGGGGCAGAAGAGAGTAGGGGGTGGGGCAGAAGAGAGTAGGGGGTGGGGCAGAAGAGAGTAGGGGGTGGGGCAGAAGAGAGTAGGGGGTGGGGCAGAAGAGAGTAGGGGGTGGGGCAGAAGAGAGTAGGGGGTGGGGCAGAAGAGAGTAGGGTGGGGTAAGAGCTAGAAATTGGAGGAGTGCGCGTTGCGCGGGCAAGTGAGCAGCACCACTGGCTGCCGCGCCACCACCATGGGGCCTGGAGGGACAGGGGCAGTCAAGAGTAGAGGGTGGGGGCCGTAGAGAGTAGAGGGTGGGGTTGAGAGTTGGAAATAGATGGAAGTGCGCGTTACACGGGCATGTGAGCAGCACACCACTGGTTGCCAGGCCAGCACCATGGGTCCTGGTGTGACAGGGTAAGGAGTGGAAAAGCAGAGACAACGAGAGTGGGCTTTAAGAGCTAGGCATCGGTGACCTGAAGGCCAGCCAGTCACCGGGCTGTGGGTTGTGATGGTAGCATGGATGCAAAGGCCTTACCCGGTGTGACACGGGCAGCTCTCTCTATCAGGAGCAAGAGCGGGCCTGAGCAGCTGCAGTCTGTGAGTGCTGCATGCCAGTCAGCGGGTCATTAGCCAGGCTCGCACCATGATGGACCGGTCCGTACCCCGGGAAAACTCGCTCCCCACTTCACCTCCTTACCTGGAATGACAGGGACTGCAGCGCCCAGGGCAAGAGGGGGACTGAGCAGCTGGAGTCTGTGAGTGCTGCATGCCAGTCAGCGGGTCAGCAGCAAAGGCCTTAGCCAGTGCTGCATGCCAGTCAGCGGGTCAGCAGCAAAGGCCTTAGCCAGTGCTGCATGCCAGTCAGCGGGTCAGCAGCAAAGGCCTTAGCCAGTGCTGCATGCCAGTCAGCGGGTCAGCAGCAAAGGCCTTAGCCAGTGCTGCATGCCAGTCAGCGGGTCATGGGCCATGATGGTAGCATGGATGGATGCAAAGGCCTTACCCAGTGTGACGGGATCAGCACTATCTCGATGGAGGGTGGGACTCAATAGCTGCAAGTCGGTGAATTGAAGGCCAGTCAGCGGGTCATGGGCCAGGATGCGAACCACTCTGTTGCTGCGCCAGTCACCCACCTCCCACTCCCACAACCCCGCTCCACCGCTCTCCACTCCTGCACCACCACTGCTTGCTGCCCCTCCATTTCCAACCCCCCCCACATCGGCTGCACTGCGCCTTTCTTCCCCACCCCCTGCCCTTCCACCCAGCTGCCGCCCCCTCCTCTCGTCCCCTTCTCCCTCCCACTTCCCTCCACCACCCACGGCGTGCCACCTGTACAAGTGCCGCCCGAACGTCCAGTGCAGATGCCCATTCACGAGCACCATACGATTCGCAGTACCCCTACCTGCTGCTGCTGCTGCTGCTGCTGCTGCTGCATGCCTCGACAATATATCATGCATGCGACGCGGAGAGGCAGAGGGAGATAGAGAGGACGGGGAGGAGGGCTCGCGAGTAGTAAAAGCGAGAGGGTAGTGCGAGAACACAACAGCAGGGCCGGGGGCTGAAGATAACCCCTGTGCTGACGTGTTCCATGAGGATGACGTGGCAGGGGTGGCTGGAAGCGCTGACGTGGCGGCCTCCCATTGGCTGAGGGCGGAATCGAGTGCGTCCAGGTCAGACGTGGTGGGATGGCCGAAGAAATTGGAGGGACCTCTGATGCCAACCCGGGGCGCAATGTCGATGCCTAGTAGGAGAATGGGAGGGGATGGGGATGCTGGGGGCACACAGGGGGGGAGAGAGAGGGCCAGGGAGGGGCAAAGAGGTGTCTAGAGCGGTCAGGTCAGACGTGGTGGGATGGCCTCTTATACCCACACCCACACCACAGAGGGGGAGAGAGAGAGAGGGGCAGTGGGGGGCAAAGAGGTGTTGCGAGCATTCAGGTTCAGGTCAGACGAGGTGGGATGACCGAAGAAATTGGAGCGTCCTCGTATGCTGACCGTGGAGCAATGTCGACCCCTAGCAAGAGGATGGGCGGGGCTGGGGATGCTGGGGGGGGGGGGGGGGGGGGGAAACAGGAAAAAACAGCGGCAGGGAGCGGGGGAATATGAGTTGGAGACTGGAGGGTCCTCGTATGGCGACCCGTGGCGCAATGTCGATTCCTAGCAGGAGGATGGGCGGAGTTGGGGATGCTGGCGTGGAGGGGGGGGGGGCGGGGAGGGTTGGGATATGAGTTGCGGAGAGGGTGGGGAGGGTTGGGATATGAGTTGCGGAGAGGGCAGGGAGGGTTGGGATATGAGTTGCGGAGAGGGCAGGGAGGGTTGGGATATGAGTTGCGGAGGGCAGGGAGGGTTGGGATATGAGTTGCGGAGAGGGCAGGGAGGGTTGGGATATGAGTTGCGGAGAGGGCAGGGAGGGTTGGGATATGAGTTGCGGAGAGGGCAGGGAGGGTTGGGATATGAGTTGCGGAGAGGGCAGGGAGGGTTGGGATATGAGTTGCGGAGAGGGCAGGGAGGGTTGGGATATGAGTTGCGGAGAGGGCAGGGAGGGTTGGGATATGAGTTGGAAGCTGGAGAGTCGTGTGATGCCCACGCGGGGAGCAAAGTCGATTCCTAGCAGGGGGATGGGCGGGGATGGGGATGCTCGGCGCACACAAGGAAAATGGAGGGGCCATGGGGTGGTATGTAGTCAGCTAAGGTCCTGGGAGTTAGAGATTGGAGGGCCCCCTCTGATGCCCACACGGGGCGCAATGTCGATGCCTAGTAGGAGGATGGGCAGGGATGGGGATGCTGGGAGGTGTAAGGGGAGAGGGGGGGGACAAGAGAGGGGCAAGATATGATTGCACGACGTTGAGATTTGGCAAGTCACTTGCGCCCGCCCAGGATGCTATACTGCGAACCAGGTCTCACCAATTCTCACCATTTCTCACCAATTCTCACCAATTCTCACCACTTCTCACCACTTCTCACCTTTCCCCGAGTCTGCTTCAAAGGGCCGCAGCACCAGCCCCTGCACTCCCCCTCTCCCACACTGCGCGCTGACACTCTGCCGCCCAAAAAAATCCCCCTTGCCGCCCCGAATCGGCACACTAAAAGCATCATGATTGCCCCTCAAATCCAGCACCCGGGGGAAAGGGGCGCAGGAGGGGCGGCTGGGGGAAATATTCTGAGTATGTTCGGTTTGTTGGGATTGAGAGGTGAGGGAGAGCGGTGGAGAGGGGGAGGAGGGCGGGTGGGCGGAGTTGATTGCGGTGCTGAGGGCGTGCATTGCTTTGGAGTATGCACACCATTCTGACTCGTTCTGTGCTGTTGTTGTGCGCTGGCGGTTCTTTGATTCTGAAGCGGATGAAATGAGAGGAAAGGGGAGGGGAGGGGGGAAAAGAGGGAACACGGAATCAGACAGCAACAGGGATGTCTTGAATTCTATCAAGGAGGATAGAGAAGCTAAGATAACACGGATAAAAATTTATGGGGCTTAGTGAGGCATAGGCACGCACATGAAACCCCATCAGAACGGTTACGAAACAGCGCATCAGCGCTCACATGCAACCCCGTCAGAACGCTTATGAAATAGCGCATCAGCGCTCACATGCAACCCCGTCAGAACGCTTATGAAACAGCGCATCAGCGCTCACATGCAACCCCGTCAGAACGCTTATGAAACAGCGCATCAGCGCTCACATGCAACCCCGTCAGAACGCTTATGAAACAGCGCATCAGCACTCACATGAAGCCCCGTCAGAACGGTCATGAAACAGCGCATCAGCGCTCACATGCAACCCCGTCAGAACGCTTATGAAACAGCGCATCAGCGCTCACATGCAACCCCGTCAGAACGCTTATGAAACAGCGCATCAGTACTCACATGAAACCCCGTCAGAACGGTTATGAAACAGCGCATCAGCGCTCACATGCAACCCCGTCAGAACGGTTATGAAACAGCGCATCAGCGCTCACATGCAACCCCGTCAGAACGCTTATGAAACAGCGCATCAGCGCTCACATGCAACCCCGTCAGAACGCTTATGAAACAGCGCATCAGCACTCACATGAAACCCCGTCAGAATGGTTATGAAACAGCGCATCAGCGCTTACATGCAACCCCGTCAGAACGCTTATGAAACAGCGCATCAGCGCTCACATGCAACCCCGTCAGAACGCTTATGAAACAGCGCATCAGCGCTCAAATGCAACCCCGTCAGAACGCTTATGAAACAGCGCATCAGCACTCACATGAAACCCCGTCAGAACGGTTATGAAACAGCGCATCAGCGCTCACATGCAACCCTGTCAGAACGCTTATGAAACAGCGCATCAGCGCTCACATGCAACCCCGTCAGAACGCTTATGAAACAGCGCATCAGCGCTCACATGCAACCCCGTCAGCACGAACGCACGCACCTGTGAGATCCCCAGACACTATCAGCGCAGCAGGCGCTATAACGCGGACAGCTGGCACGAGGTGCACGAGGAGATCATTGGCTCTTGATGGCACGTGCACGCTGACGTGGACGTCCGACAGCTGCATCCACCACACCACTCCGCGACGAGCCTCGCCGCCCACCTCCTCCCACCGGAACCCGCCTGCTTGCCGTCCATCTCCATCAGAAAGCTGACGGCCATCCTGTTGCAGTAAGTGCCGTCCACCTCCTTTTCCTGACCTCTGACCGTCTCGTCTTAGCGAATCACCTCTTAGCGAGTCTCCTCTAAGCGAGCTTTCTGTTATAAATTCCTCAACTTCTTCGCCCTGTAACCGCGGTGAAGCTGACACGAGGACTGCCAAACAGAGAAGAAAATACGCAGCGGCTGCCATCGCTTCGCGCTTTAAAGTCGCAACTAAGTTAGATCATCTCACGTGTTCGCACAGGCTGCGAACTAGCGGGAGACGAAGCTGGGCATCTATCTGCCACGCATGGCACGCAACGAGCGTATCACGCTACGCAGTTACCAAACAAACAAGAATTTCAAGGTGTGACGCTCTGCTGCAAGCTCGAGGCGATACAAACAAGTTTCGAACCATTATGTGCTTATATGGGCAAACTCATATGCTACACCCCATGTAGCATTTCACTTTGGCTAACCACAATGCATCCATCATGATTCCAATCACCCCCTTTTTAAAAAACCTGTGAAGCAGCCCCATGTAGCTAGGCTATAAAATAATAAGGCATATATTCTTACACTTGCCGTTGCCAGGACTACCATACCACTGATGTTCTCTTTATCGATCCTGTATCAGCGGCTCCTTATGAGACTCGCTTCTAGGTTGAGTTAAGGCTGGGAACCATTCCGTCCTTTTTCTTTCTAGGCTGGAAACCGTTCACCAAAAGCTTCAGGCCGTCCTGGCCGGGTTGTGATTCGCGTATATCGTGGCCGTTGTTTGCTTCCCAGAAGGTACTTAACCATGTCGACAACCCGTGGGACAGATGCTGCGAAGACGACGGTCAAGAGTAAATGCGTGAGTCGATTTTGCCCCTGCATTGGAAAGGCACGACAAAAGTACATCAGTAGGTGAGCTAAGCGTCAGTTAATGAGAAATAAGAAAATAACAAACTGGCAGAAAGAAGACAAGCTACGAAACAAACAAGAAAGAGATGTGTTAACTTAAGGAAATGTGCATACCTGAACACGATGAACAATCTCCCGAATCTCCTCAACATCTGCAATCTGTGCTGCTGCAAGCTCCTTCAAACTGTCCCCCCCACTCTCCTCCGCACTCTCCCCCTTACTCTCCCCTGCACTGCTCTCCACCTCACTCAAGACCCCCCTGATCCCACCAATCCCCTTGCCAACAGCACTGGCCCCATCGTCACTTCCAATCACCAGCACAGATTCCCTTCTCCCAGCACTCTCCCTTGCCACGTCAGCTCTCCTCCTCGACACATCGCGCGCCTGTCCTGCCACGTCATCAGTGTTGCTGACCCGTGGCGTGATTCCATTGGCCAGAGCATGGACGGATGACGTGGCAGCAGAGGCAGAGACATTGGTGGTGGTTGGGACTTGGGTGGGAACAGAAGTGGCAGTGGCGACGTTACTTTTGGCAGTGGTGGAGGTGGAGGGAAGAGGACGGGAGGAGAGGGAGGAAGAGGAGGATAGGGCTTGGTGGTGGTAAGGAGCAGATGCGATTGCTGAAGGGTCTCCTCCCTGCAGGAAGCAATGTGATAGCGATGTGAAGGGGTGTGGGGCGAGGAAGGAGAAGGGGAGAAAAAGGCAGAAGGAGGAAGGAGAGAGGAAGGGAAGGGGGAGACAGGAAGAGAAACAAAATTGGCAGAAAGAAGCGAAATGGAAAAGGAACAGGAGCAGGTAGGAGAGGAAGGGGATGAAGATATAGGAAGGGGGTGAAAGCAGGCACAATGTGAGAAGTACAGGGAAAGAGGGGAGAGGTGGAAAACAGGCAATGGGAGGTAGGGAAGGAGGAAGAGGAAAGGAGACACGGGAGAGGAAGACAAGAGGAGGAAAAGAAAACAAAAATCGAAGGGCGAGCAGGCAAGAGAAGGTGAACATGAAGAAAAAAACGAAGTCAGACGCAGTTTTTGGTGACTCGGGCAAATACCGAGATGACTTCTGAAACGCCTCAAATAAGCAGCATGACACATTGCCTTCTCTCACCAGCAGTGCTGTTAGCTTCGCCTCCAGCACCCTTATTTGCATCGCCTTCTCTGAAGCTTCCTTCTCTGCCTGCGCAGCCCTCCTCTCAGCCTCTACTGCTCTGCGCTCTGCAGACTGTGAAAATTTGGAGACAGAGAAAGAGGTGGGGACGAGGAGGGAAGCGAGGATCAAGGAAGCAGGAGGGGGTTGACTTTTGAGCCACCTCAAACCTGCACTCCTCTCAGCCTCCACTGCTCTGCGCTCTGCAGACTGTGAAAATTTGGAGACAGAGAAGGAGGTGGGGACGAGGAGGGAAGCGAGGATCAAGGAAGCAGGAGGGGGTTAACTTTTGAGCCACCTCAAACCTGAACTCCTCTCAGTCTCCACTGCTCTGCGCTCTGCAGACTGTGAAAATTTGGAGACAGAGAAGGAGGTGGGGACAAAGTGGAGAGGGAGGAGAGAGATACAAGAGTGAGGAGAGAGGAGGAGGGAGGAGGGAGGAGCGAGATACAAGAGAGAGGAGAGAGCAGGAGAGACGAGGGAGGAGAGACTGCTGAGTGAGGAGTGTGGAGAGCTTTAGATGGTTACAAAATCCCTTAGTTGCATCTACCAGCTGAAAACACATGTTTGAGAGATCCTTAGTAGTGACCTGACCACATGGACCCCTCCAATGCCTTTACCCAGCATCCTGCTGGCACCTAGCCCACCTTCCTCAGCTTCTACCCTACCCCTGGCCATTCTGGCTGATCACAACCTGCCTGTGCCGCTTCTACCACCAAACAACACACACGCCTGTGATATCCCTTGGGGTCAGTGGAGGGATAGTCGCTCCAAACACAGACATACCTCCACTGCTTCTGACAGTCGCTCCACGTCCTGTAGGCTCAGAGACGGCTGCCCCTACCCTCTACCCTTTATGGCAGATGGTGGCATGCTTGCACCACTGGTACCAACAGCACGCACAACTGTTGAATCATAGACTGCTTCTGACAGTCGCTCCACGTCCTGCTGGCTCAGAGACGGCTTCCTTTTGTTCCTGGTGGCTGGATGGCTGTGAGGTCCAGGCATACTTCAGCTGCTTCTACCTTCACTCAAAGCCTGCGAGGTCCGTGGGTGTCAATCAAAGCATACCTCCACTGCTTCTGACAGTCGCTCCACGTCCTGCTGGCTCAGAGACGCCTGCCCCATCTCCAGCAGCTCCTGCATCAAATCCTCCGCTTCTTCCTGCTTTGACGGGGGGAAAGTTGGGGAGAGGGGGGATAAGGAGGCACACAATAAGGCGGATAAGGAGGCACAAAATAAGGGGGATTAGGAGGCACACAATAAGGGGGATTAGGAGGCACGGGATAAGGGAGTTGAAGAGACGCCTGCCCCATCTCCAGCAGCTCCTGCATCAAATTCTCCGCTTCTTCCTGCTTTGATGGGGGGAACTGGGCGATAGGGAAACAATGACAATCGGGGATTAGGGGAGGTTGGAGAGACAACTAGAGCACAAACACCACCTCCTGCATGTATGTTCCACAAACTGCCTCTGTGAGTGCTACATATAGGGGCAGCATGACGTGGGTGACTAGCCCACAAAAAAATGAGACAAAAATGACACAAGCGAATCCACTAGCCTGAAGAATTCTCTGGCACTTGAGTTGAGTGCACATTTCCACACACTAGTGCACCACACTAAACCGCACTGCGTTCATTGCAGGAGAACCCATACCACCGCACTACACCACACTGCATAATGCTGCACCGCATTGCACTGCACTGTACCATGCTGTTGGCTTCTCTCCACACGGTGCTCTCTGGGATCTCATCGATGCTCTTACTGCAACCACCCATAACGAGGACACACAGTAGGAAGAAAAGTTATGGGGAAGCAAAGGGAGGAAAAGATTCGGGTTGTACTCAGACCATGCTTCCACCGAGTTTAGAGTTTATATTATCTATCATGCTTCTATAGAGTTCCTGCCAGGCCATAATCGCGCTCGCTCTCCCAGCGATCGCCTACCATGTTTCCCAGCCCCCTATCCTGCCCTACAGCTTTCCCACCTGTTGATCTCCCTGCCTGCATCCACTTCCTCCATCTGCTGCTTCAGCCCCTCCTCCTCTGCCTCCCACTTGCTGTTCGTCGCTGGTAGTGATGGGAGGACGGGAAGAAAGGCAGGGGAAGGGCTAAGGAAAGTGTTTGCAAACGCTCCATCTGCTGCTTCAGCCCCTCCTCCTCTGCCTCCCACTAGCTGTTTGTCGCTTGTAAACCCGGAGGGCGGGAAGAAAGAAACGCAACGAAGGCTCTAGACAGGAGGTGGAAGACGGAACCAGTGAAGTCTCAGCAGGGAGGGAGGGAAGAGGGGGCGGAGTTAAGACAGAAAGGGGAGAATGCTTCATGTGCTGCTTATAATATCCCTAAAGTGGGAGGATTAAGGAGAAGACGAAGAAACACGCACACTGGTCCCTCCTGCAAGCTGCGAAAGTCTCAACTCGCAGCTCCTCAATCCTGTAACACACAGGATTTGTGTTGCGATCTACATAGCCCGCAGCACCAAAAAGCCCCAGAAATGCCTCATCTCCACCTGGCCCACAGCCCCATAAACGCCTCATCATGCCCACTTGGCCCCTCCTGCCCTCACTATCCCACCTGCTCCCCCTCCTGCCCTCACTATCCCACCTGCTCCCCCTCCTGCCCTCACTATCCCACCTGCTCCCCCTCCTGCCCTCACTATCCCACCTGCTCCCCCTCCTGCCCCACTATCCCACCTGCTCCCTCTTGTGTGCTGCGGAAGAGCTCAAAGCGAAGCACCTCGGATTTGGCCAGCTCGTCCCGCAGGCGAGCCACCTCCATCTGAGGATGGAATTGAAGCATCGGGAGGGAGAGGTGAATGTGGGATGGGGTGATCAACAGTAAGGAGGGGAGGGGTTGTGGGCCAAATCGCAGCACACAGACTTGGCAAGCTCGTCCCGCAGGCAAGCCACCTCCATTTGAGAGAGGCGCCAGGACGGGGAGATGAATATGGGATTGGGTGATGGGGGAGAGGAGGTTGGCCTGAATCGCAACACCTCAAGCTTGACAAACTTGTCCCGCAGTCGAGCCACCTCCATCTGAGGGTGGGTTGAGGGAAATTAAGTGATGGGGATTCAAAGGGGAACGGCCAGGGAAGTTCAAACATTGACAAGAAACACACTGGTTCAACCAGAGGAGTTGAGTTCAGAGACTGCATGTGGTAAGAGTATGAGTGGCGGGTTGACGAAACAGTGAATCAAGGGATCGGGCAGTTGGCGAAGATGGAAAGGCTCAGAGATGATATCACTAAGAAAGTTCAAGACAGTTCATCTGTACCTTGGTCATGCCTGAAAATCAGCTCACCTGTATCTTGATCGTCCCTGACTCGTCCAAATCTTCCAGCCGCTCCTCCAGTAGTGCCTGCACCATGGCTGGATTCATTTCAGCTGCCCGCTGCGCTGCCCGGCGCTTCCATTCCTCTGCACAGATTCCAGGGGGGTGGAAGGGCAGGCGCGGATGGTACAGGAGCTGGGTGGGTGCGACAAAGCCGTCAAACATGACTCAATTGGTACATCAGTGGCAGAGAATGGTTAGGGTTACATTGACTCATCATGGGGACGTCGTGGTGAGTCAATGGACTTCAACTCACCGCATCTAGCAGCCATGGATCTTAGCTCAAGCTCCAGCGCTGCTGCATGTGCCTTGGCCTCCTCTAACTGCTTGTCCTGGCAATGGGAGCGTGAGGAGAAGTATGAGACGGGGTAAGAAAAAGGACATGAGGAGGGGGGGCATGAGGAGAGAGGGGCATGAGGGGGGATTTTAGGAGGAGGGACAATGGCACGACATTCAAATCACCCACTGCTCTGTTTGGTTCAATCACTTCTGTGCTCAAATCACTCACTTTAGTGTTCGGTTCACTCACTGTTGCGTTAGTGTCACCACTTATACTAATGGAGTTCGATCCACTCACCGCTGGCGTTCGGTTCTTGAGCTGCTCCTGCAGTAGAAGGTCTTCCAACGCATCCCTCTCTTCGCACACCTGCACGTGTTTGTCACTCAAAGGTCAAAACAAGCATGCGGGCACGCACTGGTCATTTCTGATGGGGACAACACTAGTATCCGGGCACTCAAATCCTAAGGCCCCTAAAAAAATCGCCTGCAGTAGCAGGTCGTCCAGCGTATCCCTCTCCTCGCACACAAGCATTCAGGAACATTTTTGTTGAACAGGTCCATACGACATGCAGTATCGGCGCGGGAACAATGCCAAGCCAAGGAGGCGGCACAGGGACAAAGGGTCACAGACTCACTCCCAAGAAAACAAATCAGAAATCAGGTTCCATGGGGGCCAGAAGAGAGGGTTCATGACAGACAGCAGAACAGGTTTGATGAGAAGCAGTAGCGAGGACTCATGTGAGCATCCATGCCGTACCTGTTGGTAACTCGCTCGGAGCTCCTCCATCTCTCTCTCCAGATCAGCGATTCCCTTGGTCCTGCTGGAGCTCTGTAGGGCGACGCAACAAAACACGCAGGGATGAATGAGTTGGGAGTAGCAGACAATTTAGTGGAGGAGGTGAGAGTTACAAAACGGAGTCACATGGAGGGAATACAGGCTGGACCGGGGAAAAGATGTACCCACAATGAAGATTTACCTAAGAAAGTCACCAGGACGTCGCCTGAGAGACTCCAAGACATGGTATCATGAGACCAGAGAGCCATACGATGGCCGTTGGGGGTAAAAAAACTCGAGAGCTCGTTTTCCAGCAACAATGGCGGCTGTATGTGGAGCTGTGGAACCAAACGATGCCCGTGCATGGTTGATGACTGACTGATGTGGCAGACGAAAAGCGTTTCTGACAGTTATTCAGCTCACTGAGACGATAGCTTGACATGCCACCTAAGTATACCAACTACCGTTGACGACGCCGGACTGTTGAAACGAGCTTTGTTGAAAAGAGCACGCGACAAAAGACGCACTCAGTGGCGACACCAATCGGACTGATGGCGCCATCGTCCTGACTGGTTACTTCACGATATTGAAGTGACATGTTCGCGAAAGGCTTCGGATGCCTTGATTCGTGATCTTGAGGCTATCAAGAACTGGATACCGACGGAACTCACAGGAGGCAGCCGGTTTCTTTTCCAGGTGAACCAACCAAAGCTTGCCATCAACCATTTTCTGACTGAGCTTACATTGGGCGGTGCTGGTTTTTTTCCCAAGCCGCCGGTCCACTGAGCATTCCGCGTGTACGACGGCGACGCATCGATGTACACCGACGCTGACTGAGAGCCGGCGACACCAGGCAGACTGGCTTGTCATCGGGCTGAATGACTTGACGCTGACAGATACGCGGCATCGGCAGACTGGCTTGTTGCAACATCAGTCTAACGACATCAGATTCATCAGACGCTGACTGAAACGCTGACGTCATCAGGCTGACTGACTCGCCCCGGCACCAAGTGAATCACCCAAAGCCTGGCATGAACCATTTTCTGACCGAGCTTACATTAGGTGGCCCTGGTTTCTTCCCCAGGCTGCCGGTCCACTGAGCATTCGGAGTGTACGAAGGCGACGCATCGATGGACTCCGACGCCGACTGATACGCCGGCGACAACAGACTCTCCATTGCAGCCTGAAACTCGCTACTGTTCTTTATTTTCCGCTTTCCCGACCCTCCATTAGCATCCCCGTTGACCGCCAGGGCGTCGACTAGAGCTTCTGACGCCAGCAGACTCGTCGTCGACTCAACGAGGTTGTGAGCCGTTCGATCCGTTCCTGAACGGTCAAGATCCGTCCGGGTATCGCCGCTGTCTGTTCTCCCGACGGAGCTAGAGACGGATTTACTGACAGGGCCTGAGGCTAAGGAAGCGGCAGGAAGATTGTTCGACGTTAGTTCTTCCAAGATTCGGTCTATGGCGTCAGATGGTGGAGAGTTCATGCTCAAGTTCATACACCAATCACCCACTGACTTGACTAGGATTAGGGTGAAGCTGGATCAGTACGAAATCACACTACAATGAAATCTCTAGGTCCCTGGTCCAAGTTGAACTTTGAGCACCGATTTGCATTTCAGTTAAAAAACAACAGAAAGACTAGCGCTACGACGACAAGGGCTTTAGGAAATGTCACCACCTTTCCTAACTAAAAAGTGAAGGGGAGCTCTGGTTCTGGCAAATGCTAGTGAAAGCTGTGGAAACTGGTGGAGTGGGTGGAGCAGGAAGGATGCTGCTACTGACTGAGGGGTGTGAGCTTCAGCAGCACATTCACCATCGAGAAGGTTTGGGGACGAAAGCTCTTGCGAAGAATATTTTGCTGTCGCGAAGATCGTTATGCCTCTATTGACCAGGACAGACAGGCGGCGAAAGAACGAAACTGTCCTCGCGATTCGTGAATACTGATGGCCATCATCCTTGTGACTCCGAGAATCTCAGAAATGGATGTGTGACATCCATCTTGTCTGCCAACGGTTCTTTTGCGCGGGAAACTGCATTCAACAAAAAAGTACCGATTGAAAACATTTTTCCAGAAGACTATCAGCTTCCCGTTACAGTTTGCTAGGTATGTTGGTTTCACTACATATTTGTTTCACATCCTCCTCAAACTTGTTTCTTAGCAAACCCAACATTGCCTTTGTGCAGCAATTCGAGATTAGTTATTTCGCATAGAAAACATTATCCCGCATTGACGTAGTGATTGCTTGCTCACTACCGTACTTTCATGATTTCACCAACAGCACAACCCTAGGTGTATGCATTAGGAAGCTACAGGACAAGCTACGAAAGACACTACAGCTGTCAGAGCATTTCTTAGCTAAAGCCATTTGCCTCAACCACACCAGCTCCTACAACACCACCCAGTATCCTTCAGAAGATGCTCCCTATATCTCCACTTGCCAGAACCGTCAACTGGGCCGTGAGAGCTGCTATACCTCCCCTCCCCCTCTTGGCACCTCATCACCTGGCCCTGATTGCAGCCCAAAGAGGACAAGAAAACAATTTGTCCCAGAAGTATCAAGACGCAGACCCCACTCAATGGTCCATGCTTGCATCACCTCCTCGTCTCCCTCTCACACACACTCTCCGCTTCGCAACTGCACTCTCTACCACCCACTCTCACACTGACTCTCACTCCCAACGAAGTACACACAGCACGAGCAAAACACTCCCTCCTAGCAATTTCGCTTGGAGTTGCCTTTGAGGATTCTCCAAAGCGACTCACCGAGAGAACCCTTAGTCCACTCCCTTTCCATCCACCTCACCTCCTTCCTTTCATCCCCTCTGCAGCGCAGAGGGCACCAGCAGAATCTCTGATTTACCCTTACGATTCTCTCCCTTCACTCCTCTCTCTCGCCACCAACTGCGTCCCACACCGACTTTCAAACCCACTGCAGTGGGGAGCACCAGCAGAAACTCCTTCTCAGCGATATCCACCCACAAAGTCCCTCCCAGCCAGTCCTTAAGAGCTTCTCACATTCCCACCCACTCTTTCACACACCCTCACACCCTCACACACCGAGTCTCACTCCCACTGCAGCGCGGACAGCACCAGCAGAAACTCCTTCCCAGCAATATCCACCCGCACAGTCCCACCCAGCCGGTCCTTGAGAGCCGTTAGATTCACCTCCATCGCCCCCGTGCGAGCCAGCACGTTGACAGGTGTCATCTCCACATTGGCCGCCGCTCCTGCCCCTCCTGCTGCGGCAGCGGCGGCAGCAACACCCGCAGCGGCGGCGGCAGCAGCAGCACCCATCAGGTTGGTGGTGTTGCTGCTGCTGCTGCTGGTGCCGATGCTGCTGCCGCTGCTGCTGGCAGGAATCAGCTTCTCCTGGAGAGGCAGTGTAAAGGATACTTTCATCATGCCGTAAAACACTTGCCCCACCAGCCCCCCTAACGCAGTGTTGAACACCATTTTAAGTGCCGGAACCTGAACTTGCTCCTTTGGCCCGCTCCCTCTTAGATGAGTGTCATGTGCTGCTGCTGCCCCCGCTTGTGCTGCCCCTGCCCCTGCCCCTGCCCCTGCTGCTCCGGCTGCTGCTGTTGCTCCTGGTTGTGAGTCTCTACTCAAGGACGAGTCGAGCGATTGCTGCTGCCCACCTGCCCCGTTACCAGGCGCATGAGTCCCCTCCTGCTGCCCACTGCCCCCTGCTGCTACTGCTGCTGCTGCTCCAGGTGCCCCATCCCCGCAGCCTAAGCCAAGAGTCAGCACCAGGCCTTCCCCCCCTCCCCCAGCAGCAGTGGCACCAGCACCAGCAGCGGCAGCAGCACCTGCAGTATCCGTAGCAGCAGCAGAAGCACTACCACCAATCATCCCAGCACCCACCACAACAGAAGCACCAGCAGCACCGGTAGCACCACTAGCACCACTCGAGCCGCTCTGGCCCCCACCACTCCCTCCCGACCCATGCAACCGCTGCTGCCGCTGCTGCTGCCGCCGCTGGCTCTGCTGCTGATGCTGCGCCGGCAACGGCAGCAGCATGTCCTTATCCAATACCAATAAGGCCTGCCCTACCCTGTCAGGACACGCCCGCACCAGACAGGACCCTCTTCCGTCCGTCCTCCGTAAAACCGTCCAATTCACAGCTAGAGAGCGCCGAAAGGAGTCCTTATCAAGGGCTTCTATAGAGGGAAAGATGGCGGACGGGTCTGAGAAGGTGTGGTGGGCGAAGGGGACGAGGGCGCGGCCGCCCTCGTACTTGAAGGCTTGGGAGAAGACGGGGGAGCCGTGGAAGGAGAGGTCGAAGAAGAACGTGAGATCGTCCAGGTGGAATGGCAGCGGGGAGGCGCGACCCGGGCGGAGAAAACGCTTTCTGGGAGGAAGGACAGGGAGGATGAGGGGGAGGGAAAGGGGCCGGGGAGGGGAGCGGGCAAAAACGGGGGAAACGGGGGTAGAAGGGGATAAGAAATGGGGTTTGGGAGATGGAAGAAGGGGGAGAAGGGGATGAGGGCGCGGCCGCCTTCGTACTTGAATGCTTGCGAGAAGACGGGGGAGCCGTGGAAGGAGAGGTCGAAGAAGAACGTGAGATCGTCCAGGTGGAAGGGGAGGGGGGAGGCTCGACCCAGGCAGAGAAAACGCTTCCTGGAGAGAGGATGAGGGAAAGAAAGAGGAGGGAATTGCGAGAAAGGAGGGCAGGGAGGGAACAGGGGGAAAGGGCGAAGAAGAACGTGAGATCGTCCAGGTGAAAGGGCAGCGGGGAGGCACGGCCGGGGCGGAGGAAACGTTTCCTGCAAGGCGGAAGAGGGGATGGGGAACGCGGAGGAAAGGGGAAAGGGGCGAAGAGTGAGGAAAAATGGGAGAAGGGGATAAAGGTGCGGCTACCTTAGTACTCGAAAACACTTGGAAGCACAAGAGGAGAGAAGAGGTAGGCACACAAGCCTTTTACCTCTTCCCCCCTGCCGTCCTTATACCCCTAGACCCAAATAAACACGAGAAGAAATGCAGGCCCTTCACAGGCCCTTCACAGGGCCTTCACAGGCCCTTCACCTCTAAAAGAAGTAGAAATCACACGAGTTACTTTTGAGTCGACTCAAAAGGTGACTTCTGAGTCGACTCAAAAAACAGGCCCTTCACCTCTAAAAGAAGTAGTTTTTGAGAATTCTCTAAAAGCAGTAGAAAGCACACGAGTTAGAAATGCAGCGGGCCACAGCAGGGCTGGCGAGAGCGATGGTGTGGCAGTGCCAGAGGGGGAGACACTGACCAACCTACAAACAGCACAAACACAAGTGCCAGCAGCTGCACAAGCCCTTCACCTGTAGAAGAGGTAGAAGCCGCACGAGTCGGATACGCGGCGGGCCACAGCAGGGCTGGCGAGGGCGGGTCAGAGCGCGATGGTGTGGCGGTGCCAGAGGGGGAGAAGCACCAGGAGAGGGGGTCGCGACAGGCACTGTGTAGCCGAATCAGCCTCACCTTTAGAAGAGGTAGAAGCCGCACGAGTCTGAGACCCGACGGGCCACAGCAGGGCTAGCGAGGTGGCAGAGAGGCTCGCTGGTAGCTGCTGAACATGGACAAAACTACGAGCACCAACACCTGTGAAACAAGCACACACGCTACGCAGTACCTGTAAAAGAGATAGAAGCCACAGGAATCCGAGACCCGACGGGCCACAGCAGGGCTGGCGAGGGCGGGCCAGCGGGCGATGGTGTGGCGGTGCCAGAGGGGCTCGCTGGTAGCTGCTGCTCTCCACTCGCGGCACACACACGCTGCTGCTGCCAGGTCCCTCGGGGGCAGGACCCGAAAGGTGAGCTGCGGAAGAGCGGGGAGCAAGCGGGTCAACAGGGTCAAAGGGGGTCAAAGGGGGTCAACGGGGGTCAACAGGGGCTCGCTGGTGGCTGCTGCCCTCCACTCGCGGCACACACACGCTGCTGCTGCCAGGTCCCTTGGGGTAAGGACCCGAAAGGTGAGCTGGGGGAGAGGGGGGAGCAAGCGGGTCACAGGGTCGAAGAGGGTCAACAGGGTCGAAGGGGGTCAACAGGGTCGAAGGGGGTCACCAGGGTCGAAGGGGGTCAACAGGGTCGAAGGGGGTCAACAGGGTCAAAGGGGGTCAACAGGGTCGAAGGGGGTCAACAGGGTCGAAGGGGGTCAACAGGGTCGAAGGGGGTCAACAGGGTCAAAGGGGGTCAACAGGGTTGAAGGGGGTCAACAGGGTCGAAGGGGGTCAACAGGGTCGAAGGGGGTCAACAGGGTCAAAGGGGGTCAACAGGGTTGAAGGGGGTCAACAGGGTGGAAGGGGGTCAACAGGGTCGAAGGGGGTCAACAGGGTCGAAGGGGGTCAACAGGGGCTCGCTGGTGGCTGCTGCTCTCCACTCGCGCGAGACGCACGCTGCTGCTGCCAGGACCCTTGGAGGCAGGGCGCGGAACGTGAGCTGGGGGGGGGCGCGGGTGGGGAGGGGAGGGGAGAGGGGAGGGGAGTAATGGTGTGATATGATTGTTTCCCTGGCACTCGCTGCAGATGGGAGAGTAGGGGGGAAGAGCAGATGGGGAGGAAGGGGAAGCAAGGGGAGCAATAGTGTGTCACTATGATATTTCCAACACTCGTATTCTCAATTCGATTGTAGCATGCCTTTTTAAAGCCCTTCTTATAATGTACAGACAGTCCTCTTTAGCTGAACATACCACGATAATTAGAAAGACCAAACAAGACGTCTGCCAAACATGAGCTTCTAGGAAAATAGAAACAAAGCAGCACAAAAATGTGTGTCTGTGTGGTTGCATGCGTGCATGTGTGCATTGTGTGTGTGTAGCTTCTGATTATAAACATTAATCTATCAACAAACAGTTTCTCTGCTTCTCAATCCACTCACCTCTAGGACCGAAGGGTGCGATGAAATGTCAGACGACCGGCTGTTCTTCCTTGTAAACATGTGTCGCGGGGATGGCAGCGGTGCTCCTGCTGCTGTTGTCGGTGTTGCTGCTGCTGCTGCTGCTACTGGTGCTGGTGGTGCTGATGCTGCTGGTGCTGCTGCTAGTGCTGTTGATGCTGCCGCTCCTCCTCCTGCCCTTCCAGCTCCTGCTTTTGCTGCTGTCGCCATTGCTCCGGCTTGTTCTGTAACACGCTCCTGTGCGGCAGGTACGGCAGTAGGAACGGCAGGAGGCATGACAGCAGGCATGGCAGCTGGTACGGCAGCTGGTACGGCAGCAACGGCACCTGAAACGATGGGGGCACCTGACGAAACACCTGCGTTTTGATGCCAATGAATCCGACTCTGTTGCTGCTGATGCGACTGGTGCTGCTGCTGCTGCTGCTGCTGCTGTTGCTGACTATGCCCGTTGTGCTGATGCTGGTTTGCACTAGAGTTTCTGTCGACACCCGCACTGACCGTGCCGTGACAGAACACACCTGGGTTTAGGACACTAGACCCTCCTGATCCCCCTCTATTGGAACACGGTATTAATAGCACCGAATCTAGAAGCATTTCTTCTTCGCCTCCGGCTCCCCCTCTTGCTCCAGTCCCCCCTCCCCCTCCCCCTCCTGCTCCACCTCTTCCTCCGCCGTCCATCCCCCCTGTCCTTCCCCCTGACCGCTTCCGCTCAAACCCTTCTCCCTTCGCGGACGGGACTATGTCAAAGGGGAGCGGAGGCGGAGTGGACGGGGGAGCGGGGTAGGGGGAGCCTTGCGTGGGATAGGGAGAGCCTTGCGCGTGATACGGGGAGCCTTGTCCGGGGTAGGGGGAGCCTTGCGCGGGATATGGGGAAACTTGTGCGGGATAGGAGGTGACTAGTGCGGGGTAAGAGGTGACTAGTGCGGGGTAAGAGGAGACTTGTGCGCTGTAGGGGGAGACTTGTTCGGGGTAAGGGGGATCTTGCGGGAGCGGAACGGGCTGAGACGAGGCGGGCGCGGATGGGCGATGCGGAGGCTGCATGCTTGCCGCGGGGAGGGCGCGGGGACACCTAACTGCGTAGCCCGCAGTTCGCGCGTTTAGAGGGTTGCAGACACGCCGGGTTGGGGTGTTGCGCGTATAAAAGGAGAGAGGCGTGGGGAAGCTGCGGAGAAGCAGGAAGGCAGGTAACAGTAAGCGGGAGGAGCCGGGAAAATGTGAACTGCAAGCGCAGGCGGAACGGGGGAGGCGGGCGGAAACCCTAATATACTCGGGATTAGATTTTCGAAGGGAATGAGAACCGGGGGAAAAGGCGGCGTGGAAGTGGAATTGTCTGCAGGGTCAGATCTCGTTAAGATTGTTGCGGTAACGCGCCGCCATGACCACAAAGTTCGCACTATCCGAGGATTTTATTTTCAGCAAATCTTGAACAAACCAGAACCCCATCCACGCCGAAAGGTCGAGCGGACCGGCCGAGGAGCCAACGAAATTGCCACTCGCTACAGTCACAGCTGCAATCACACCTCAGGTGACAACCACTAGGACTTCGTAACAACCACTTCGCAACAACCACTTCGCAAATGCGAGTTACATTCGCTGATCGGCGAAACCAACCTTACCCAAACCTGCGATCCAGCAAGATTGAATGGGCTTGTGTTGCAGGTCTCAACAGCGCCCCAGACCTCGATATAACCAGATCCGTCTGCAATCGAACAACTATCGTCTAGATAATCCGAGACGTATACGAATTGGCTCGCTTCTCGAGGTGTCGCTAACACCGATTTTAGCCTGATCCCTCGCTATTGCTACAGTTCGCGACTCCGTAGTAGTATCCGCCCTCACGAATTCGCAGCTTCAAAACGCAGCGTCAGAAATTGGTTGCTACTTCGGCCGTTCGTAGCACCATCCGCTTATTCATCCGATCGAACATCCGCCGTCCGATTTTCTCGTAATACGATCTTCGAGATTCGGAAGCGGATCCGAGGGTCCTGGAGGCACAAGGGATGGAGGAATTAGGTGCAACGATTCAGGTCGTATCACTGAGCCGCTACTTGAAAAGGCAAGCCAACGATATAGTTGTCGTCCTAAGGCGAAACGGCAAGAGAGCGGGGAAGATGCGTATGTGACGAGAACGACGCGAGACAGGGGGCCAGATGTCATGCGGCAAGGTGAGCAAGTTATGGAGGTTAGGGTTTCGTTTGTTTTTTAGCGGGAGACTCAGCCCGTTCGATCAGCTTCCCAAGAACAGAGAGTCCACAACACGCGAAATGTCAGATAGGCAATTTGGTTCGAGGATAAGGAAAATATCTCCAAAGAGACCGGGCGGGGGATGAGGGAACGAGGGGAGGATGGATACAATATTGGGCGGATCGACAGACCTCGTCCCTGCCTGACCGCGTCGCGCAGCTCGAAGGGGAATGACACGATGGGGAAGCGATGGACCCGTCGGAAGCGACGAGCACGACGAGGCATGACACGAGAGTATGATAGGAAAACGGAACTAGGGCAGGTGAGGGAAGAGACTTAGCTACGCCAACCCATCCCCCCAGCCCTGTGGGTTTGTTCCGATAATCGACATCAACGTGGCGATTTCGGAGAGCGGAAACGACGAAAGATAGGCCTCATCCGAACGTTGGTACCCAGGGTTGATTCAGACCAATGATAATCTGGACGATCAACGCGGCTATCATTCGAGCTCCCTCACGCAGATACTCGTTATAAACAATGAAAGACGGTCTGATGGGACGATTACCGTGATTCGAGAGGTTAATCTATCGATCACTTACATTACCGAGCACCGCCGCTGCTGATCTCCCTCATGGTTGCCAGCACCCGCTGCTGCTGGCCGTCTTGATCACCGGCGCCGGCGAAGCGAGGCGCGACGCGGCCTGACGTCGAGTTGCAAGAAGGTTTGACGACGATGCGACGAGGAGGGTTCACAAGGTTCTGATGACAGCAAGTGGGGGGCCTAACGGTGCTGGGGTTGCGGTCACTGCCACACTGAACCCTTGAGCACTCGAATCGAAGAACCTCGGCAATGGGGCGTGAGGGGAGGTCCGAAGAGGAGTGGAGTAGCGTGCAACCTCGGTGGGTTCCAAAATTAGTACAGTGAAGACCAGTTTAACAGCGCGCCGACGGGTTGTACAAATGGCGGCGATCCGTGATGCATGCGACGATCGGAGCAGCAAGGAAAAGACGATGCGTGGACCTGGAAGTAATTACAGCACACGCACTATTGAAAACAGTTCGCAGGAAGTTGCTTTGCTCCTCCCTTGATTGCAGAAGTTCGGAAGGCAGGAAATGATCTCATCCTGGCATCGTTTTGGTCCCTCGCTGCAAACATCCGCAACTAAGTCAGGCATTCGGACAACGGGACTGCCTGGCAACAAGTGATGAGAGTTGCGCAGCGCGCAGCGAAGAACCAGGACAGCACTTCATGGATTCTCCTGGGGTGTGAGTGGGTTGGAGTGGAGTGGAGCACGAGTTTTGTTCAGTAACGTGCTGTAGAGCAAGAAATGTGGACTTCTGTGCAGCAATGTAACGAGATTGAAGTACGGTTCAGTGCTGTTTGGGTGCTGTGTAATAGAGTAAAGAACACGTTAGGAGGAGTTGGAAAAGCAGCTACTTCACTGTTTTTGGGAATCAGCTGAAAAGCAGTAACGAAGGGCAGGCTGTGCCCCTTTCCTGCCATTGACTCTCCAAGCCAATCAAATCGAGTTGATGTGTTTCAAGTACGCAACTTGGCCACCCTGGAATCATTCAAATGATTGTTCTGGCCTGATCGGGCGATAATACTGTAAGGTATCCAGTTGATGATTCCGATTTTCCAGTGTACTGTACAACATTAGGCCCACTGAAACCTCCCATTTTTAGTCGAAATTTCTTTCGAGTTGGTAATACTGTAATCTGCAACATTTGGAAACAATTTTCACACTACAAACATCTTCCCGTTCCAATGTGAATGTGACCAGCGAATTCAGCGTTCCGTTCAACAATTGGCAAGCGTCGAGGGCGAATTCACGTGGGGGGTGGCAAGCATCAAGAAGATCTGGCACCAACAGACGCAGCTGACACAGTTTGTAATGTGCCGAACGAGCCTGGGTGCCCTGAGAAGGTTTTAGGGGAAACCTCCTTTGGTAATACCCCGGCTCGTAACCCGCCTCCCCATGTGTTTAGGATATGGGCCCAATCGACTTTGATCGGCGCGATCAGAAGAGCTCAATATTTTCGAGGAAGGCGGGAAGACAGTTTCAGGCAATCGGGGGCAATCAGCTGATTGCGCCAACTCGATCAGACCCGATCAGACACAATCAGCCCCGATCACTTGATTGCATGTGATTGGGGGACTAGGCGATGTAAGCGAAATGTAACACACCTCGCCATGAGGTCTCGAAAATCCTCGCTCATACATACAAACCAGCGAGAGCTGTTCTGGAGCGGACCTTGTGCGCAGTGCGATTTTGCGTTACCAAAATACTTAAATTCGCCCATCTCGCCAAAGTTGGGGTGCAACTACCAGGTAATGGGCCGCCTGCTGTCATGCAAGAGCGCAGAATACTCGATGAAAATCAATTCTGATCGGACGGCGCGAGAAAAACGATCACAAGCAATTCGATCCAATCCAACCCGGTCAGATCCGAGCCGATCAAAGTCGATTGGGCCCATGTCCCTACACGCCTCCCCCCATGTGTTTACACGCCTCGCTGGGCAACGAGGTTGTTCTGTCCACTCCCAGATAAGCACATGTGTAGTCCCTTTTAGTGGGGACTAGCTGTAAACGCCGCAGGGGGGATCTGATCCCCAGACCTCATCTTTTCGGCAGTGATCCAGCTAACCAGCTAGGCCACTTCAGGATGGGTGCCCTGAGAAACTACCTCCAGGGCGACTGGGCTGTCTGGTTTAGGACAATCGACTTTGATCGGCTCGATCAAAGACGATTAATAACTTATAGGAAGGCATGAAGCCGGTTTCAGGCAATCAGAGGCAATCAGCTGATCTCAAACAGCTGATCGCTCCAACTCGATCAATCGCCTCAAACAATCCGATCAATCACGATCAGACACAATCAGTCCCGATCACTTGATTGCATGTGATCGGGGGCCTGGACGACGTTCGCGAAACGTTACACAATTGACTAGAGGTCTCAAAAATATTTCGCTCATGCCTACGGAATGGCGAGAACAGTATGCGAAGGTTCTAGACTCACATTGTTTGCAACGCGATTTTCACGACGTTACCACAATACATTGCGTTCGCCAGTCTTGCCGAAAATGGAAAGAAAATACATGGTAATTGTGTCACACTTTTCATACAGGCTCGTAGATTTTTGAGGAAAATTAGCTTTGATCGAGTAGCACGGGGAAAGCGATCACAAGCAATTCGAACCAATCCGACCTGATTCAATCCGATCCGAGGAAAGTCGTTTGGGCCCACGCCCTTATTTCAGTTGCCTGCATGGCCACGCAACGCTAGTCACCTGCACTGTACACTAGTTTCTGGGGGTAATTACATCAACAAACGTAGAAACATCCGCAGTCGTAACTGGCTAGGTTGGGGGAGGAGGGGTAACGGTTACTAAACCCTTCTCCTGGGTTACAGCTACAGTTCTAGATCGCAAAAGACACGGTTACTAAACCCTTCTCTTTTTCGCACATTTTTCGTGAATCTTGGCGAGAGTCTTCCGACGCTGTACACTGATTGGCTCGGGTGCACGGAACCGAAATCGGTATACAATGCTCGTCTTGGGATACTATTCCCCGTCTCGCATAACTTGAGAACCAGCTTGTATTTGAGCATTAGGAGGCTCCACGCCTTTAGGAGAAGGGACACGTAGCAGAAATCAGCTTTAGTAGGCGAAAGCTCCACTAAAGCATCCCTGGCGCGCCGAAAATTAAGAAAATCTATGCTACGCCAACCTCACTCGATTCAGTTGATCACCCGGTCTCGTCGCTCATCCGCGCCCGTCGCTCACCCGCTCTCGTCGCTCACCCCCTCTCCTGCTCTCGTCGCTCACCCGCTCTCGTCGCTCACCCGCTCTCGTCCGCTCTCGTCGCTCACCCGCGCTCGTCGCTCACCCGCGCTCGTCGCTCACCCGCTTTCGTCGCTCATCCGCACTCGTCGCTCATCCGCTCTCGTCGCTCATCCGCGCTCGTCGCTCACCCGCGCTCGTCGCTCATCCGATCTCGTCGTTCATCCGTGCTCGTCGTTCATCCGCGCTCGTCGTTCATCCGCACTCGTCGCTCATCCGCACTCGTCGCTCATCCTCGCTCGTCGCTCATCCGCGCCCGTTGCTCACCCGCTCCCATCGCTCACATCACCCCTTCCCTGTATGTAACGCCTGCGGGCTGTGTTAAGGGCATTCCGCTGACGTTTACTCACTCTCCTCTTACCTTCCTCTCCCGTCGCTCATAATCACCTATTGCGCACACTCCCCAATCCAGTTGATGTCATCCCCTCTCTCGCCACCCCCCTTCTCCCCCCTCTTTTCTCGTCACCCCCCTGTTTCTCGTCACTCACACTCCCCCGTCACCCTCTTTATTCCCCGCAACTACATCCATCCATCCCCTCTTCACGCTTCGCTTTCCCTGCTTTTACCTCCTTACATGTCCCCATCTTATCCCCTCGTTCCCCGCATTTACCTCCTTCCATCTCCCAAGTACCCCTCTCGTCCTCGCACTACCTCCTGCCGCCCCCCCATCTTACCCCCTCCTTCCCTGCGCATTTACCTGCTTCCATTCCCTCGTCTTACCCCTCTCGTTCCCCTACACGTATCTCCTTCCTCTCCTCCCCGCCTTTCCCCACTTTCCCCTTTATTCCATTGCGTAACACCCTGCATCCCCCCTCTAACCGCCCTCCACTTCCCAACTCACCGCCCTCCTTCCCAGCGAAGTGCCAAGCTCTCACGGTCCACCTTTCCCCCTCTCCGTCTCTTCTTCCTTACCCATCTGCATCTATCCTGCTGTTCCCTTCTGCATCTCTGCACCCTTCCTGTGCTGCATCTCTCCTCGGGGAATAGTGGCAGGGTAGTAGGAAGGGTCGGGACGTGGTAAGGGAAGAATAAGTGATGGGGAAGGAAGCAGTAAAGTGGAGCGGCAGACCTTTGTAGAGGTAGGATTTCGGGGAATGAAGAGTAACCTTTTAGTTTCTGCAGATGTTTGTGTTGTTAAAAGTTAGGAGCCTTGTGAGATACATGATTTTTTTTACTAAATGCGGTGGTGCCAGCAGAAGGAATGGACGTCTTGTATGAACGACCTGCAGTGGTTCAGCATGCCTTTTTGCTAAACCGTTAGGCACAACCTAAGGTTCTAGTTAAGGAACACATGTTATGGTAGCATATATGATGCATGCTTGTGTTGTGCGGATTTTCCCGCACCGCAACCAAAACCCTGAGCTGAGCAGCACTGTGTTAACAAAATTCTGAACGTGGGGCAGGGATTTTCCACCGCACCATCCTGACGTGGGGTTCCGTACCAGGGCCTCAGATTCCAGGAATTTTACCCTGATTTCCTGATGTTTGACCTCGGTTTTAATTGTAACCCTGATGAATCAGCCTTTTTGTTTTTACAACCCTGATGAATCAGTGTTTTTCTTTTCCTAATCCTGAATTTCCAGTGTTTCTAGTTTGTTGACACTGACGAGTCAGTGTTGTATCGGAGACGACCCTGAAACCGGAAACTCCGTGATTCTCGCAGTTTTGCGCGCCGTCATCGTACATGAACCCACCCTGCACCGACGCCACCCTGCGGCGCGCCCAGATACAGTTGAACGGGTTAATTTCGGGCTGTGTTGGCAAAACGGCGTAAAGAGATTGGCTGTCCCAGTTGAAGCAATGTACCGTTGTCACGTTGGATAACCTACACTTGTCATTACTTTCCATTGATGTGCACAAACAACCAAGCCTAGTGGCCCAGTGGGCCAGTGGTCTGCCTTGTTCTTTCCACCAAGGCAGGGCGTGCTGGGGCGGCCCGCTCAGGCACCCCACGCAGGGGGTCTCGTGATTCTGCCATTCCAGCTCTCCAGACTCCATCCCTTTCCGAAACATCAATCTCTGCAGTCTCCCTGAAGCCTGCTCGTCAGGCTCTCTCTCCCCCAGGGTTTCTCGTTACTACTCACCGATTCAGGAAGGTGACGTGAACGCGCCATGGCGATCACCGGTGAGAACAGCTGCGGTGATGATGACGACGATGCACTTTACGCTGCCACCGAGATGCTGGAGGCTAGAACGGGACTAGATTTTCTAGTTTCCGCGCTCTCCCATGAAAAAGAGAAGCCAGGTCCCGTCGCCTCAGTAGCAAACACTAGTGAAGCGTCTGGCCTCTGCCGCGGAGACGATCGTCCCCAGCCCGCGCATACTGCTAAGCCGGCCGTGCCGTCAGCAGCCGGACCGAGCATCCACTTGCCATCTCGTGCGTCGTCGTCGAAGCCTCCGCCTCGTTACAAGCAGGCCGTGCTGCGTTGGGCCGATCCTACAGATCCTGGACGTCCTCTCGCTGATGCCGGCGAGTCGGTAAACCACGTTACGCCCACGCCATCTAACTCTAAAAAACCGTCACTAACCACTCTGATTTACGAAGAGGCCCTTGAAACGTTCAAGTCGACGTGGTCGACCGACTACCCATGGCTCATACTCATAAAAAACACTGCTGGCATGCCTGCGTTCAAGTGCAGATTGTGCATCGACTTTGCAGGTGACGGTGGGAAGTGTGGCAAGAGTGGGCACGGTGCAACCGATCTTCAGACCCAAGCCTTCAAGCGGCATGCCGCGACGAACAAGCACCTGTTGGCCATCAATCACCAGAAGCAGATGCTAGCTCAGGCTGTGAAGCAGCCGCGAATTGACGAGCATGCGCTCGCCAAAGATGACGAGACAACCCGCGTCATCAGCCTTCTGAACTCCCTTCACTTCACCACCCAGAACCATCTGCCGATGGAGACGTGGGTGCGCCTCGTTCGCTACATGGCTCAGAACGAGGTCCGCGGCTTTCCCAAAAAGGGATACGGCACTTACTACACCACGTCAGTGCTTACGGGCGCATGTATTAAAAGCCTCTCCTGTTCACAACCACGAAAGCCTAACAAATATGTTCGGTGTCTATGCAGGTACGGCTTTGGGGAACTAACACAGGCAACGGCCGTGTGGCTGCAGACAACACAACTCGAACACGTCCTACAAAGCCACTACATCGGCCTCAGCTGTGACGAGTCTACGGACAGATGCCGTGGGAAGCATCTCATCATCTATGCCACATTCATCCGCGACGGGGCAGTAGTCACCGAGTTCTTTGCCCTCCTAACCGTGGACAGGGCAGACGCCGCATCGCTGGTGGCGTTGCTCTTATCCCATGTCAATGCCGTCGGCATTGACCTGCGCCGAATCACGGGCATCAGCACCGACGGGGCGAGCGTCATGGTCGGATCCAAAAACGGGCTGGTGGCGAGGCTGAGGACGCGCGTTCCGCATCTGGTGTCCTGCCACTGCATCGCTCACAGGTACGGTGGTTGATGCAGTATCCGATGCGACTGATATTTGTTATTTGAACATGGTGTCCTTCCTTCGACTTAACCAAATGCGACTGTTTTTTGTTTTAATCGCAGGGAAGCACTCGCGGCCAAGGACGCGGCAGAGTCCCTTCCGGAGTTTGGCATGGTCGACAGCTTCATCCGCTGGCTCTCCACCTACCTCGGCTCATCAGGACCCTGGCACCAGCGCTTCCTGGACCTTCAGGAAGTCTTCACTCAGACTAACCTGGAGCTCCAAGGAATCAATGATGTGCGTTGGCTCTCACGCGGCGATGCAGTCTGCCGACTCCTTGCAGTCCTTCCGGGGGTCGTCGTGATGGTGCACGAGCTGGGAAACAAGCCCATGTACCAGATGGTGACCAGCTACAGATTCCAGTTCATGCTGCGCTTCCTCGCTGACGTGCTGGAACAGCTGAACGTGCTCTGCAAGACGTTCCAGCATCGACAGGTGAGATCCTGCTTTTACCTGTGCATCCCTGTGTGCCGTGAGGACTGTGGGTTTAGGGCCGCTAACTACAGCTAATTCTGCTTCATGATTGAAACATGGCTGTGCTTTCCCTACTGTTTTTGTGTGGCAGATTGACCTGCTGGCGATTCAAGGCCAGATCCGTCGCACGACAACCCACATCAACAGCCGTTATGTGGATTGTGGCGACGACTTCGGCGGCGGCCTGAGCGAGAAGCTGTCGCCCTTCATTGCACGACATGGACCGAATGGGGTGCGGAGAGTGGAGGTCGAGTGGGTTGAATCCGACGGCCGGCCCACTTCTCACTGCTATGTGCTGCATGATTCCCCCCTTGAAGGCTACCCCATTGCAGGGACCCATGAGCGATGCGTGGAGCAGTGCACGGCGATGGCGGAGGCGCTCGTGCATAACCTGGATGAGCGATTGGGTTCACTCGACAAGCTGAGCGGTGTGAAGCTTTCATGCCCGACGAGTGGCCCCATGGACGGCAGGAGCGTTCCATGGTCTGCACGGAGCACCTAGAGTCCCTCACGATGCTCTTCAGGGCCCAAGAGAGCGACGAGATCGTTCCAGGTACGTACTTCTCTTTGGTCTGTGCATCGTTGTTTGTGCTGCTTTGTTGTGTAGCACCTAAACACTGGCACCACTTGTCTAGTGAGCCTTGCTTACCTTGTTCTTTTCCTTGTGCTTGCGCACTCCCTGACTCCCTCCAGGTGTCAACAAGAAGAAGGCGTTCAAGGAGCTCCGCACGTTCTGCACGGTTCTCGCTGGAGCCCCGAAGTCCGAGAGAAAGTTCTACCCGGGTCTCTCGGCGATGCTGAAGTCTCCTGACTGGGAGGACGCGTACCCCAACCTGCTGAAGCTGTGGATGGCTGTCGCTGTGCTACCGTTGAGCACAGTCAAGTGCGAGCGGGGGTTCTCGCGTCAAAACATCATCAAGAGCTGGCTGAGGGGTGCCATCAAGGATGCGCGGCTGTCGGACCTCATGTGCATGGCATTGCTGCCATACGAGCCCGACTGGGCGGAGGTGGTGAATATCTGGAGGGCGTACAAGAAGCGCAAGCCCATCACAACAGTGGCAGCACCAAAGAAGCAACCTCGTGCTAAGGGGAAAGAGAAGGTGGACGAGGATGATGCTGGTGGTGCTGGCTCTGGGTGGGGGACAGAGACCCCCCTGCACAGGCACGGTTCTATGAGCGATGGTGGTGGTAGTGACGAAGATGAAGACATGTGTGTGATGTGAATTGTGTGTGCGGTGTGAGCGCCAATTGGTCTGTGCCTGTAGTTAGATTAGAAGCTCATTAGAACCATATTTGAACTTTTCTTAACTTATTATACTTGTGATAGTTGTGGATTCTCACCGCCAGTGTTTTTTTTTTTAACTCACGCTGATGTGTCAGGGTTTTTTTTTTTTTCTAACCCTGAGAAATCAGTGTTTCTCCATTTACAACCCTGATGATCAGTGTTACAGCCCCAAAGGACCCTGAGTGCTCAGGGTCACCCAAAACGAATCTGAGGCCCTGTTCCGTACACATGATACGCATTAAATTGCTCTTTTAAAACAAGTTCATGTCAGAGGCAACCGATAGAAGGGGGGTGTCGACTGTCATTGCCAGCTGCTTTATGGGCACACGACAGATCACCGAATTTCGTGACGATGCGAATTTCCCGATCAAAGCACGCTGAGCTACCCGAAAACTGAGAACAGTTGATTTGTAACCCCACTATTTCCTCCAAACCCCATCGAACCATAGTTGCAACAAGGAGAAAAGGCAAATGGAAAACACGTGTACAACTTTTCAGAGCTCCGTGGCCCGGTCGAGGCCTGGTCCAGACGTGTTTCCGAACCGAAAAAGACGTCCGGCCGGAACCAGTTTCGGTGGCACAGTCTGCACGGCACGGCAACCTTCAAATCCAACTTTCCACCACGTGCTCGTCTTTCCCACTCTCCTGTCTGCTACAGTGGTGTCACCGGTGGTTCCGTTATGGGGCGTTTTGGAACTCACTTCACCCTCCTGCTCTGTAAGGC